ATAATACCCTTCCAAGTGTACTTTTGCCTTATATAATAGCACAAGGTATTTCACTTCCGGTGGGGATTTTCTATTCAAATGTGAGGTCTATATTCATCATTTCATTCTTATTAGAAAGTGAACATTATATCTAATTTAACTTTACAAAACCAACCAATTTATAAGGTGAGATTTTCATTTACATATTGTAACTTAATTATTTCTCTAGTTGATGTGGGATTTGTAATAGACCTTAAGGACCGAACATCTTGAGTGTGGAACTAAATGTATTTGTGGATAGTTAGAAAGTGGTCTCACAACGGGTGAAATCATAGGTCCAACAATTTTAGTTGGGATATACCTTAATACCACTAGAAAGTGGACTTTAAGTTTAACCATGCAAAATCGACTTAGTAATGTGAGCTTTAACTAAGATTTTAGTTCATTGCTAAATGATAGCACATTTTTCTTAACCCATGTTGCTTCTGTTTATGAACTTGCCTTATATGATTATCAATTTCCTTGTAATAATTTTATTATATTTGCTTCAGTGAAACTCTCTTGATTTTCTTCCTACCCCAAGTTTTGAACTTTCTCTTGTCACTTCCCCAGGTTTGTCACTAACAAAATCTCAATTGACATTTTAACTTTGTGATAATTTAAAAACTGTTGTGAACATGTTTGACATAAAATATGCTTTGCTCCAGCTTTCTGGCTATATTCCGTGTCCACGTCATCGTCTGCCAAGGTAGGCATTAACAACAAATGTATCTAAGTGAATGGTTGAGACATCTTACCTCTTGTACTTGTTTGGTTGAAAACTCATGGACCCTCAATTCATTCAGGTTTGACCCTCAAACTGGACTACTGACTGGGACAAATGATGGGACACTCGTTAACTTCTTCCTAAGAAATTTAGGCCGCAAATCTGAAAAAGCACTTTGTATTTATCTTCTTGCTTTCCAGGTGATTCCCTCTTTTTCTTGTGACCAGCATTCCTTTTTGTTTTCTATTTCCGTGTTGAACTTGGTTGTTTGCATGATTCAAGTAAACTAGTAGTTTCAAGAACTTGATTTATTTTGTTGGATTTGACTCCAATTATGGGATTACATGCTATAGGGAAAAAAATGCAGGATATTAATATATTTTTTTAAATCGAGCAAATTTTAATCACTTTATAGCTTGCTAATCATGCAGCTAATCATGCAGTTTATCATAGTTATCATTGCTCTAATGTTCTTTTCCCCTTTGGACAGGCTATAGCGTGCTGTTTCTGTTTCTTGCTAAGGTATTTCCTTGCTGGTTGGTACAAATAAAAGCCCGAAGTGGATACTAAAAAAGACATGGATGAAAACCACTCGACAGACTGGTTTTGTTGTATAACCATTTTTGTAGAAAAATTTAGTGAGAAATAGGCATATAGATTTTGGTGAACGAATTTCTTTCATTATCTGAATGTTGTGTACTAATATCAACTTACAGAAATATACCACTTGAAAATTTTCTGGAGACATTCAATAGCTTAACATTTTCGTATACAATCCGTTAGCAATATCATTTATAACAATGCCACCGCGTGCTCTTTTGGTTTTGGAAATCACCAGCTGAAATGACATCCTTCAAATAAATTATCTGAATGTGTTTATGCATACTGAGACAGTGTTTTACATGCAAAAAATATTGTAAAAGAAAGAAAACAAAAAGCAGGACGCTACATTGAAATTAAGGGTTAATTAGTTATTTACTCATGCTACATCAAGTGTAATTGGTTGGTCGACTATATAAGTGATACAAGGTGGCAAAAAAAGTATTTTTTTTTCACCTCCCCTGACCCGCCGCGCAATAGGCCTCTAGGTAGCGCCTACACTAGGACCTCCTACTACTCTCACCACATGTATCAATCCTCTCTATTTGAGAAAGAAAGATCATTAGAGTGTTAGGATAACCCCTAATACTGAGTTCCCTGTATTCATTCTAAAACACTTGAACCTCACCAAGAGCATTCACCTTGGAACTTACTTTGAAACAACATACTTTCACTTTAATTCGCAACACTAGGCACCACCATGTAACCTCTCCGTGAGGATCATGGAATTACGTACATCAATCATACTTTCAATACTACATAACATCAAGAATCAAACATTATGTATTTTAATTCATATTACAATCAAATTCATACTCCACAACAAGTAGTAGAAACCAATCATTCAAACATTCACACACATTGTACACACTTTAAGAAAACATATAATATCTTAGTCAAAACTCTGATATTTTCGCTCAGTGCATGTCATTCGCTATCCGAATAAAATTGGCAGTGCTCCCAAACCTCAACAATTCGCTCAACGTATGTCATTCGCTATCTGAATAATAGTGACAGTGCTCCCATACCTCAAAAATTCGCTTAGCGCATATCATTTGCTAAGCAAAAGTCCTTTGACAGAAAATCCATCTCTACCACCACTCGTTGAGCGAGTGGAGTCGCTCAATGAGTATGCATAATTCTGCAGCACCAAATCTGCAGAATTACACAACCTACGTCAAATTTACCAATTCCAACTATTTTTCCCAACTTCTAACCCTCCTAGATTGTGTTATATACTTACTTATAATTAACTAGCGTGTTTAAACCCTTCTAACATCAATCTAAACAAGTAGCCTCAAGATCTCACCCAAAAACTTACAAAAACTCAACTTAGAGACTTAAATTGAATTCTACCACTTGTGGCACAATTTCAAGCAACTTAGGGACTCAAGCAAGTCCCAAAACTCTCCAAACTGACCATTTGAGCACAGAACCTCTAATTCAAGTTTTCACTAGTTCATTTCCTCAAATTGAGTTCTAAACCAAGTAGAACTCTATCTTATCCATCACCAAACCTTCTCCCCAAGGATTTCATCCATTTTAAACATCTTAACCACTCACAAAATACTCACTCAAAACATACTTCACATACTTCAAACCAGCTCACAAGACTTCTCTCACAGTTTTCACTTTATAATACCTCATTTCTAGACCAAAATAACCTATAACCAAGAGTAAACCCTTGCTCCCAATAATGTCCATCATCACAAATTCACTTTATCAACACTAAATCAACATCAATTCAATACAAATAGATTCAACATATTATACATCATCCATCAACACACAAACACAACAAACACCTAATTTGATTTCCCCCCCCCCCCCCCCCCCCCCGCCCCCCCCACCCCCCCCCCCCCCCCCCCCCACACCCCCCCCCCCACCCACCCCCCCCCCCCCCCCCACCCCCCCCCCCCCCCACCCCACCCCCCCCCCCCCCCCCCCCCCCCCCCCACCCCCCCACCCCCCCCCCCCCCCCCCCCCCCCCCCCCCACACCCCCCCCCCCACCCCCCCCCCCACCCCCCCCCCACCACCCCCCCCCCCCCCCACGCCCCCCCCCCCCCCCCACCCCCCCCCCCCCCCCCCCCCCCCCCCCCCCCCCCCCTCCCCCCCCCCCCCCCCCCCCGCTCTACATTCAATCATATAATAGAATTTTACTCACACAATTCAATATTCATGCATCCTCTAACATACACAATTAGAATCAATTCAAGAAAACTCTAGCTTTCCTTACCTCAGATCAAAAGCACAGCTCAAAGAAACCCTGACAGTTTGCTTGCACCGCAAGGAAACTCTACAAAAACCTACAACTCACCGATTGGTTATAGGAAACCAACTTCAGGACCTAATTGAAGTAAACAATTAAAGGGAAAGGCTACTTCATGCAAACAAAATCCATTGCATGATCAAGGTTCAAGAACTCACGAAGAAAGAGGGGAAACAACTTACCGGTTCAAATCAAGAAATTGATCGGTAGGAATTGTAGCCTTCGACGCAGGATCGCTTAGACACTTCCTGATCATCGAACATATGACTTGAGATCAAGAACTCTTAGAGAGAAGGTAGAGAACTCTAGAAAAGTGATTTCTAAAGAGATGATACATTTTAAAATAATGAAACTCGTTTATAACAAAATTATTTATAATAAAACTGTTTTATATTAAAATAATCGAATCTCACTATTTTTAGACTACCACCACTTCCAAAATACCATTTTCTGGGATTTTACATCAATAACAATGATTAAATAATATAAATAATAATAATCCAGTTTTATTAATTAACACACTTTTTAATTTATTAAAACATTACGTTAATCATTAATTTTCATAAATTTTTATCTTAAATCTTTTTATTTTTTATAATACTTTTTGTAATATCAAATAATTTCATTTTTATCTTAAATCTTTTCATTTTCTCTTTGAATTCACTAAAATTTACAGTATAATATATAATATGAAAGTATGATTGTAGAAATTAAATTTTTTTATTATAAATAATTAACCTACATTTCATTAATTAAAAAGTATTTCTGATAAAGAAAAATAAATAAGACATGAAAGTATAGTTTTAAATAACACTATAGAATAAAATGAAGTTCATAAAAAGAATAAACACATGAATATGAAACCTCAGTAGTCAGTGTTTACGCGCTTCCTCTCTACTCTTTCCCTCGTCTCGTCGGCAGCTTTCCGCTCACCAGCCTTGTCTCCGCCGTCCGCCGTCGGCCAGCAAGGGTTTGATTCGTCAACTTCAGCCCGTCGCTGCATGAACGACAACCGAGAACCCTAAAACACGCTAACGGTCACGCAAACACATTTCCTTCACGGATTTTGGTTTGGTGAGGTAGGCTATTTACTCATTACTCTATTTTGTAGTTTTTTTTAGCTATTTACATTGTTGCTTGTACTGTACTTGCGTTATGATTTCATTCTTATTTTTTTATTTTCTGTGTGGTATTTGAGATTGAGGTTTGGGGTCTTGTTATGTAATTTGGGGTATTCTGTTGAAGAGTGAGTTGGGATTTGGGGAATGAGTTAAAAATTTCCGAGCCTTAGCAAAAATATTTTATTGTATTTAGTTTTTGAGATATTTCAGAGTTGGGTTTTCAGAGCAACATTCCAAAAAGATTTTAACAGTGCCATGTTGTGACTAAGTGTTTCAGTAAAGCAAAAGTAATCAACATACTCTCTGTTTCTCTTATTAATTTGATTGTCAAAGTATCAACTGTTAAAAGGAGTGGTTGGACGATAGATGACATTGTCTCAGCTGAATTAGTTATATTTTGACTCCTCACGTCTAATCTACTTTGAATGGGGATATTTGAGGAAAAGTTGGACAATCGGAGCTTAATGAGAGATAGCATGTTTTAGATAAAGCATACTATTGAAACTTTACATTTCAATCTTTTTGTATGGCTATTAGTGGGTGGTCGATGGAAGATTGGTCACTAAGCATAAAAAGAAGGGCGTGTAGAATTTCGTGTAATATAAACTGTGTTATGCGGGGAACTCGTGTTGGATATTCCGCTTCATTTTGTACTGTATTTAGTTGTGTGAAAAGAACCAGAGAATATGTATTTATCATGAATTGTTTTATGGGACTAATAACTCAGAAGCTCAGAATGGGATATCAACACAAAAGTTAAGGGTATACCATTAGATTTTAAATGTCTTTTACATTGAAACGATTTTTTTTTTAGTTTTAAATGTTATGCTTCTTGTCCATCTTTGCTTCAGATGCATTAAATCTTCTATTATTATTTTGTCTTTCTCAGATAATACATATTCATAGCTCTTTGACTTGTTCTTATTGGGGTGGTTTGGAAACGATCCATTCTTCATTTTTGTTAGAGAAAACCTCCCACAACATGGGTTTATGCTTTTGCTTATCCATCCAAGTGCGCTACAAAATTTTGTTGCTAAAATACTATTGTGGAAGATTTTTGCTGGAATGGAAATCCATTTTTGCTAATAATTATTTAGAATCAGAACACAGGGATTTAACCTCTAACAAATTGGTAGAAACAAGAGGCTTTTTGGCACATTTCAAGAGCTGAAGTTGCTAGATTAGGCTGCTCAAAATTATCTTTATTTTTAACAAAATAGGTTTTCTATTTCTATATTAAAAATTGGAGCAAAGATCAGCCTAGATATATAGTTGCTTGATTCTTGCTATTCTGGATTTCCTGAACATTGTTCTGGTTTGATCAGGCTCAAAGTAATCCAGTAACTTAGCAAGGTTGCCGTTTACCCATATCAGGGGATAATATAGCTGCCCACAGAATGAATTTTTAAAATGATTCTGAGAGAAGTAGAAACCATCTTTTAATACAATGTTTTAAACAAAATTAGAATAAGAAACTTATATGAAAGACTGAACATTAAAAATAATTATGAACCAACCATCCTTTTTTTTTAGCATTATCACTTGAAATAGGTCTTTCCTCATTACCTTGTCCTCAAAAACCTTGTTTAGCAGTGGTAGACCATAATAAATAATTACTGCCACTCAACTTTTGATGAATAATTAGAACACCACTAATAACAATGAATAAAATGCTCTCTGATTAGGGTCTCTGATTAGAATAAGAAACATTATATGAAAGACTGAACATTAAAAATAATTATGACCAACCATCCTTTTTTTAGCATTATCACTTGAAATAGGTTCGATGTTCCTCATTACCTTGTCTCAAAAACCTTTGTTTAGCAGTGGTAGACCATAATAAATAATTACTGCCACTCAACTTTTGATGAATAATTAGAACACCACTAATAACAATGAATAAAATGCTCTCTGATTAGGGCTCAGGCTGCGACTTGAGCTATTTTTACTGAAGAAAAGTCAATAAACATGCTTGGATATGAAAATTCACTTGTCTGTATCCATCGTTGTGCATATTTGCCCTCTCACCTTCTTTCTTGTTTTCTTTAGTTATCGCCTAATTGTGATCAGTAGGTAATATGTGTTCTGTCTGGCCTGAGCCCTCGTTTTGTCTAGTCTATTTTTTGGGACGCCTCACAGTATCAAAATACTTTTGTTTCTGCTTAATTGTATAAAATATAAATGTGGTTTTATAATTGAATGTTTTTAGAAAAAATATATCGACTTTGGATTATGAATAGATTTTATATATTAAAGAAGTAAGGTTTAAAACAAGTTGAAAACCAGATTGATTTTTACCAAACCGTTTTTTAAATGAAATGGGTTGATTTTCAAATTTAACCTTATAATGAGTCTGTAAAGGGTTTTGGTATGGTTTTATTCCAAACCTATCCATTCACAATCACTAACTTATTTCTATTGGGCCTTTACTTAGATCCTTTTTTTGTGGTTTTATGTGTACGCTTGACACTCTTGTCTCCTGCTTGTGTTTCTAGAATGGCCATGGCAATTTCATTTAATTTTTCTGGGGCACTCTTATTTATTTGTAGTAATTTTTTAATTTAATTTTGTAGTCTAAAATTCTATATAGTGTGTTGTTTTTTTATTCTTTTCAGTTGGGTAGGAATCATGGAAGTGGAGAAGGAAAATGTTACTGCAGAACCATCTTTACCCGCCTCTGATGGTCAAGATACTATTTCTGATAATGCATCTCTACCCCATTCAATACAACCTATTATTCCACCTGTTATTGCACCTTCTGTTGTGCCTCCTTTAGCTCCAATTCCCACAATTCCTCCCCTCGCCCACTGGCACCACTTCCAGTTCGGCCACCAGTCATTAGGCCACCTGTGCCACAAAATGGCGAGGTTAGATCAAGTGACTCTGACTCGGACAATGATGACTCAAATGCAAGAATTAACCAGGGGACTGGAGAGTATGAGATATCTGAAGAGAGTAGACTGGTGAGAGAGCGGCAGGAAAGGCAATGCAGGAACCATGATTGAAGAGGGGGTCAGCAGCTGCTCTTTTTATCTTGACGTTCCTACAAATGATATTGCTGTGTGCGAGCCGGCTTCGACATCTTGGTGAGCCAATAACTTCTGTTTTGTGTGAGAGAGAGATGGAGGACGTGGCCAGGTTTGCGGATGATTATGGCGAAGCTAGATGCAGAAGGTCAGCTGGAGAAGCTGATGAAAGCTCATGAGGATGAAGAGGCTGCGGCTTCTGCTCCAAAAGACGAGGCTGAGGAAGCACTGCAGTATCCTTTTTACACTGAAGGGTCAAAGGCTCTCCTGGATGCCAGAATTTATATTGCTAAATATTCTTTGGCAAGGGCAGCATTACGGATTCAACGTGCACAGAGAAGAAGGGATGATCCAGATGAAGATATGGATGCAGAGATAGATTGGGCATTGAGGCAGGCTGGGAATTTGAGTCTCGAATTCAGTGAAATTGGAGATGGATCGGCCCTCTGTTGCCTCCTTCTCAAGGGGATGGAAAATGGCTTGCCACCTGGTATGTTGTTGTTGTACAGCTTAAGCCTGATCTTTTATAACCATTTCTTCCTTTTGTGAACACTCATTCCAATCTACTACTGAATGTGTTTTTTTATTTTGTAGTTCTCTGACTGGCGCTTCCAAGTTGTGGAACATGCCCAAAATAAAAAAACATTCCACCTTGAAGGGGCACACAGAACGTGCTACAGATGTTGCTTTTTCTCCTGTTCATGATCATTTAGCAACTGCCTCTGCTGATCGAACAGCAAAGTATTGGAATGATCAAGGATCACTTTTGAAGACATTTGAGGGTCATCTGGACCGTCTTGCCCGCATTGCCTTCCATCCATCAGGGAAGTACCTGGGAACTGCCAGTTTTGACAAGACATGGAGATTATGGGACATAGAAACAGGGGAGGAGTTGCTTCTTCAAGAAGGACATAGTAGAAGTGTGTATGGCCTGGCTTTCCACCGCGATGGATCATTAGCTGCATCTTGTGGACTAGACTCTCTGGCTCGTGTTTGGGACCTCCGAACTGGAAGAAGTATTCTTGCACTGGAAGGTCATGTCAAACCGGTAGGAGATTAAAGACCCTGCACTCTTTTTCTCCCAAGAAAAAAAAAAAAAAAATCAAAGTTAAATTAATGCCTTACTTTCATAAGGATGACTGATTGTAATTCATTTTGAAGGTTCTTGGCATCAGTTTTTCACCTAATGGATATCATCTAGCCACTGGTGGTGAAGACAACACGTGTCGGATTTGGGATTTGAGGAAGAAGAAATCCTTTTATACTATTCCTGCTCACTCGAATTTAATATCACAAGTTAAATTTGAACCACAAGAAGGTTACTTTTTGGTAACTGCTTCATATGACATGACTGCTAAGGTATACTTTCTATTTCTGCCTAAAACGTTTTATTGAAGTGAAATTTTAAGATTCATAATTTGTTTATTTTGATTTTTAGTATACTTATTTATATTTATATGGAGATACAGTACCTTTGCATGGGTAATTGGTTAGACTTATTCATATTTATGTTTTAACTGTAGGTTTGGTCCGGCCGTGACTTTAAGCCTGTGAAGACACTATCTGGGCATGAAGCAAAAGTTACCTCTGTGGATGTTCTTGGAGGTAGGATTTCTATCTCAGAAAAGAATAACACATACATGGCTCTGATTCAGATATCATTTCTTTTTTCCATTTTTATGTGCTATTTCATTAAGTGATCGATGTGTTTCAATGCACCAGTGTCCTGTCCACAACTCACCACCAATGGTGAATTTAAAATCTAACTTAACTAGTGGGTATTTTGAAAAACTAATGATATATCTGGAAAGTTTGTTGTAGGATTGATAAAATAAATTATGTGGCATTGAGTTTAATGGGTACATCCTATGTGAGTTGTGACTCAAATTGAAATCTGGTTTAATCTTTCCGAGTTTTTAGTCCAGCAGGGGACTTTTTTAAGCTTCATAGATTTTTTCTTCTGCATTCATTTCCTTCCTATATGCCATAAAAGGCTAAAGGAAATGAAAGGAGAGGGATGGGTTCTTTTATTCTATTGTCAGATGTTAAAGGATAGGACGTCATCAATTTATGGTTTATATACTCTTGGTTAAGTGGGATCTGATTCTTTTAGAAACGAAGCGGATCAAGTCTTTGAGCTGATAAGTTTTTTTTTTGATAAATTGTTATTGTTGGCGCAGCTAGCTGTATCACCAAATTACCCGTATCTGATTGTAGATGATTATTATTGTCTTGCAGATGGTGGCCACATTGTTACCGTCTCCCATGATCGCACCATAAAACTGTGGTCCAGCAATACGACTAACGAACAAGCAATGGATGTTGATTAAGCTATTTTGATGACATGCAATATCTGAAAGACTTTGGTGGCCCAAATGAGATTCATAATTTTTGTTAGAGACATCTTAGAATGACTATTTTGCTTGGATGGATTTTTACGTAGTCATACATTACATTGAAAAAAAAATACTTTTTTTTGCCACCTGTATCACTTATATAGTCGACCAACCAATACACTTGATGTTAGCATGAGTAAATAACTAATTGTCCCTTAATTTCAATGTAGCGTCCTGCTTTTGTTTTCTTTCCTTTTACAATATTTTTTGCATGTAAAACACTGTCTCAGTATGCATAAAACACATTCAGATAATTTATTTGAAGGATGTCATTTCAGCTGGTGATTTCCAAAACCAAAAGAGCACGCGGTGGCATTGTTATAAATGATATTGCTAACGGATTGTATACGAAAATGTTAAGCTATTGAATGTCTCCAGAAAATTTTCAAGTGGTATATTTCTGTAAGTTGATATTAGTACACAACATTCAGATAATGAAAGAAATTCGTTCACCAAAATCTATATGCCTATTTCTCACTAAATTTTTCTACAAAAATGGTTATACAACAAAACCAGTCTGTCGAGTGGTTTTCATCCATGTCTTTTTTAGTATCCACTTCGGGCTTTTATTTGTACCAACCAGCAAGGAAATACCTTAGCAAGAAACAGAAACAGCACGCTATAATCTGTCCTCTCTCTCAACAGCCACAACCCCCCAAAAAAAAAAAAAAAAAAAAAAAAGCAAACGGAGGCGTAGGACAAGAGAAAGATGGACAGGCTCTAAGCGGCTGTTTCTGTTTCTTGCTAAGGTATTTCCTTGCTGGTTGGTACAAATAAAAGCCCGAAGTGGATACTAAAAAAGACATGGATGAAAACCACTCGACAGACTGGTTTTGTTGTATAACCATTTTTGTAGAAAAATTTAGTGAGAAATAGGCATATAGATTTTGGTGAACGAATTTCTTTCATTATCTGAATGTTGTGTACTAATATCAACTTACAGAAATATACCACTTGAAAATTTTCTGGAGACATTCAATAGCTTAACATTTTCGTATACAATCCGTTAGCAATATCATTTATAACAATGCCACCGCGTGCTCTTTTGGTTTTGGAAATCACCAGCTGAAATGACATCCTTCAAATAAATTATCTGAATGTGTTTATGCATAACTGAGACAGTGTTTTTACATGCAAAAATATTGTAAAAGAAAGAAAAAACAAAAAGCAGGACGCCTACATTGAAATTAAGGGACAATTAGTTATTTACTCATGCTACATCAAGTGTAATTGGTTGGTCGACTATATAAGTGATACAAGGTGGCAAAAAAAGTATTTTTTTTTTTTCAATGTAATGTATGACTACGTAAAAATCCATCCAAGCAAAATAGTCATTCTAAGATGTCTCTAACAAAAATTATGAATCTCATTTGGGCCACCAAAGTCTTTCAGATATTGCATGTCATCAAAATAGCTTAATCAACATCCATTGCTTGTTCGTTAGTCGTATTGCTGGACCACAGTTTTATGGTGCGATCATGGGAGACGGTAACAATGTGGCCACCATCTGCAGACAATAATAATACATGCTACAATCAGAATACGGTAATTTGGTGATACAGCTGCGGCCGCCAACAAACAATTTATCA